TACTATTTGAATAATTTCAATCATGCGAAGCTGATGCGATGTGATGATGTGATGCTGAGGCGACAATGAAGCCATGTGTAGGCGACAATGATGCCACAAACGCCTAAGCTTTCGTGATAACTGTACTTTATATCTTTCACTATTTGGTACATTCACATTATTTGGTACACTATTTGTCACAGTGTCTTACTGTTTAAATCCTGCCATTTCTGTCACTAGTTTATCTAAGACATCCACTTTCTCTGGATTGCCCTCAAACAAGGACAGGAAACTAGCCTGAGTACCAGTAGTTCCTTTCACTCCACGGAATCGCAAATCATCTCTAGCACGAATGATATTTCTCAAATCCATACACAGATCAGATACCCATAGACATGCTCGCTTACCAACAGTTGTCAACTGAGCTGGTCTGAAATTCAAGGAACACCATGACAAGTTAGGTATTATCTCATATCTATAGACCTTATTTAAGCAATAATAAACAGTTTCCCCTCCATTTCCTTTATAAAGTACCGTAAAACATGTTGAAAAAGTGGCATGCAATTTTAGCGAATAGTGGTAAAATGACGTAAAAGCGAAATGTTGATTTAGCGAATCTCTCTTGTCATTGTTGAATCCTTTGTTTTTGGTGGCCATTTTGAATTGATAATAAAGTCATTAGCGACATCTTGAATTAGCGAATCAGTTCTCTCACTAAATTGGCGAAAAAGACATGCTCGCAAAAAATGTTTTACAGTAAGTTGTCAGTTCACTTAATAAAAACAAGGTAATTTCATTGATATTGTTATGTTAGACAAACTGTGCCTGATTGTAGGGAATGACTTTTTATGTAAAGTAACTAATAGTAAATCATAACTTATCATAAATAAAAAATGCCAAGTGCACTACAGTAAAAGATAAAAATTATAGACCATGACACACATTACCATATAGGATGAGACAACATCCGCATGCTTTTTCATGTTATAGTCCTTGTGTTTTTGTGTTGCTCTAATCCAAAACAGATCAAATTCCTTCATATTTTTTCTTTTATATTATCATACATCATAACATGCATAACTTGTGTATCACCACAGTGTGACATACAACATATCACTATAGTTAGGTCACATACTGCTAAACTTTTATTCATTGTACAAGATGCATTCCTGAATGTTGCCCAGAGATTCAAGGGTTATACAAGCTCACCTGTGTATTTTTGGAATTATTATTCAATCCTTCCAAGAAAATTGATTGTACATGTATCTTAAAAAATCACAACAAATTTGAGTAAATATCAGGAATGAGCAGAATCAACATACAGCGTATACAAGGCGTTCAAATGAAATAAAACACTGCGGCATTAATAAGCATACCAGGCACTCGCAATGATATATTTCTGTTCAGTTTTAGTTCAGCAATAGCTACACTGTCAATACTGTGCCATTTCACCATGTTGTACTGTGGAAATACACGTTATAAATATATAATCCCACGTTATTTGCTCTTAGGTTGACACTCATGATTATTGCCAGAGTAGCATCAATACTCGCCTGTGGCTCAGATTGATACAAAACTCTGGCGATAGTCACTCGTGTCTGCTGATGTCAACATAAGAGAAATTATCGTGGGATTATATCAGACCATAACAGCTGCCACAGATTCTATCACTACCTCTGTCCATCTATTCATGTACATGTTTAATCAACATGTACACACTGTAAAATTTTGCAGTAAATTGAATAGATTTAACTTATCAGGTAAAATTAAAATCTAATTAATAGACTTACAGAATACACACTTGAGGGAATATTACTTACTGGTAATGTGTAAATCCCAAAGTAGGTAATGACTTGTATTCATCCGCAAACACAGATAGTCGCTGTATACAACGAGCTAACTTGGGAAGAATTATGTTAAATGCATCCTTCATTACCAGTAAGTCCTGTAACATGATTGGTCAATGCATATGTCAGAGAATTACAACATTTATTAAAGTAATGTCAGAGATATCGCTCAAGTCAACCATTTTAAAATGACATGCAACAAGGTATCATTATGTTCAATGTATATATCAAGTTTGTGTGACTGTGACCGAAATCCAGTTCCAAAATGGTGGAAATTTTAATGATCTTCTGAAATGGCCACTAATCGGCCACCTTGAAGCAATTGCATATGTATCTGCATGTCAAGAGGTACATGTATATGATGAATGTGTGATATTTGAACATGATCATCCAGGAAATTTTTAGAAATGGCTAGGGAACAGCATTTATTGAATCAAAATTGCCACCAGTCGGCCATTTTATTTCCAATCTGCAAATCATTCATACATGACAGATCCAATTCTGTAATGGAAGAAAAGATTTATTTTGATGAAATCTTATAAAATCGTTGTCAACATGTGCAAGATATACAATTTATGTGAAGTAAACGGGTTGTTCAAGCACCTCTCGGGAACAGGTGTGATACACACACACATACACAGTAAACAAGGTTTTTTGCAATAATGTTCCAAAAGGGATTGAGACTCACTGTTTTGTGAATAGAACATTAACAATTGAGAGTAAACGTCTCAGAACTGATATAATTACTTTGCAATGAATGTGTCTGCTTGAAGTATATGACACAATCAGATTAATTATTATTTTCACTATTCATGCTTGCAAATAACCCCAGCAGGTATAGGGAAGGACACTATTTTGTCCATCCATGTGTACAAACTAAGGCATAGAGACATTGTTTTGGCAATCAATGCGTCTAAATTTAAACATAGAGACATTGTTCGGCAATCAATGTGTCTCAAGTTAGACGTAGAGACATTGTTTGGCAATCAATGGTTCAAACTTATGACAGATTAGATTCATGAACTACATGTATAAACAACCAACAGAAGTGCATGAACTTGCATCCCTTAAAACAATAATAAAGCCACACCCACACACGACCTCAATCTAAAAATCTATTAACTTTAAATTGAATGCAGAACTTACTGTATTGTCACCAACATAACAAGAGGTAGCACCTAAATGTATAATAGAGGCAGCCTTAGGACAGCATTGTCCAAAAGTATACACATGGGCCATCACATCATGACGACGTTTCTTTTCTTCCTGGGCTGCGATTTCAAAATCTATATTCTCAATATTGGTCTCCATTTCTTTGATTTGTTCATCCCTGATGTCAAGACCTAAAGTCTGGTATAAAAAAAAAACTTTTTATTCTTTTAATTATGGTTTTAAATACATTTAGAATGGATTGCCAAATAACAGGATTCTGTGTCATACAGTTTTTACTGAATAAATAATGCATGTACTAATTTTTACTAATTAGTACTAAATTAATTTTTACTGATTAGTGTTCATGATTTCAAAATTGAATGGCATTTGTGAGGATGGAAATTCATTCTGACTTGTTGTCAAAATTAATGTTCAATGAAAGACAACTTTAAGCTTTCCTTTCTCATAAAATTCACAAAAATTGTCTCCCAAGCAAATAAAGCAGTTAGGTTTGTCGCCTGTGGACATCTATGCGACTTTTCATCTACTTTACCCAGCACTAATTCAAGTCTTAGTAAATAAACACAGACATTGTTTAGGAATATTGTGATCTGAAATGAACATGATTTTTGAAAGAATATCATCATTAACATTTCTCTGCAGCAGGTGAGAATAAGTCTGCAGAAGTACAGAGCATTACTGAACCAGATATATCTCCTATTTAGTTTTAGTGACTGCATGAATAATGACAATTTTGATTTATTATCAAATGCTGGGAGTGTTCAGCATGATAACATGCTTTTACCCACAGTGTGAGACAACTGAAAAGTCTACTGAAGTGCAATGGGGACGGATTTCTCAACTTGGACTACCGAGGAATTTTAACTTATCCATGACATAAAGCCATAGCTAAGGGCTTAGCTGTATGTTGCCTAGATATATTCACTATAGTCTGTAAGGCTAGTGAAATACAGTTATTTGACTGGCAATTTTATCTGTTCTTGGCAATAGGACGAGTGCTGCATGGCCATACAATACAAACAATGGTAAAATTCACATATTAAATATTTTTTCTGTGTTTATCAATAGGTTATGAGAATTAATTTGTCATGACTTAAGTATTCAATCGATGAAGCCCTTTAAAAACTACTTCAGTTAATGTTTGTTGACTTGCATGTTGTTAATAATTATCTAGATAGAGTGTCATATGTAGAGTCAAAATAACGCATTTCAAATATTTTTAGAGTAACTAATTTTACTAATCACTACCCAGATTTACCACATCAGTCAGTCAAATCACTACATCTTTCTTAGTGACCAAGTAACTTGTAGGTACAATATCTTGTGTCATTTTAGTTGCAGTTCATCACTTGTTGTTTTCTAACGTTTTTTTTTTGAGTAACTGTATACAAATACTATAATTGTGGGGATTATAACTAGAGTGAGCCATCAAATTGTGTATATATGCATTAAAAACAACAGGTACATAACAGATGTAGATAGACTTGGTTGACTTGGTTAATAATTGTTTGATCTTAACATTCAACTGTGATATACACTACAAAATCATTCTGTCTTTGCCCCTGAAAATGTATTTGTGTCTGTAAAGGAAAATGTGTTTTCTCTTTCTTTCTAGTAAGGAAGTATTTCATAACAATAGTGGCAGAAACTGTTCATTTGTGTGCATAGTGCTTTTTTGCTTGTGGTTTCCATCATAGCTTGTTTATAGTTTTCACAAACCCATGAGACGTGGGAACTTTTGAATTGCAGTCAACCAATTATATTGTCAATGAATGGCTATTCATATAAATATACAATGTATATCAAATACTCTGACACTGTCAACAAGGCATATTTGTTGGATTTGCCCAAGTTGTTTTAATTCACATGTCAGATGCTGATAATTTCTAGACTTTGTGAAGTTGCAGTAGCAAACAAGTTTAGGGTAGTTTATAAAACTGCAGTAACACAGAAAAAAAAAAAAAAACGCTTCTGGTCAACTCGTTTTGTTTTTTAAATGAGCATGTTTCATTTATTTTCACTTCTTTTGTTTTTTAAATTTTATTTTTATTTTTCATGAAAATTGAAATTTTTTTTCATATATAAATTCTGACAAAAAAACAAAGAAAACAGATGTACAATTATATGAAATAAATTTCAATTATGTATAAAACTCATCTTATAAACAAATACTTGTATCTATTTTAAAAGGGCTTCATCCTACTTTGTATCCTGAATATAGCCAAGCATGTTTGTTGGCATGTGTATTTTTACCTATCAGTATATTATCTGACAACTTACAATATATAGAAAATTCTTACCTTGAGACCAATTGTAGTTAGGGCTTAACAATTTATATAAAATGTTACATCCAACTTCAGATTAAACAAGTTTTATTTAAGTAACTGGAGTGGGCAATGATATCAACTGTATTATTAGAGGAATTGAACTTTAAGATCCAAAGTTGTGTCCACACTTTCAAACCCAAGTCATGACTTCATGGCCCAAAATGACAATAAAGCTTTTTTTAAATGCCAACAAACAACTTACTCTGAGCATCATGTAATATTTCCAATAGCGACACATCTATAGAAACCATTGAGTATGCATCTCTAATAGAGTAAATTTGGTACATTGGAGATGTATTCTAATAGAACAAATACAATAAGGCTGATGTTTCCACTATTTTATTGAATGGATTTTAATGAAATAGTATGTATTATAATATATAAATTAGTACATGTATATGAAAGTATGTGGATTTCCAGCTTTATATGCAATGGGACTAACAAAATACTGGGTATGTAGGCAGGGTTTTTATTTTACTGTGTTTTTTTATTTTATTTTATCCCTGTCTTAATGAACTACATGTACCTTTTAACAGTTTATTTCTATTACAATCATGTGATTTAATACAGTTCTGGTCATCAGGAGGAATTAAACAAAATATAAATATTAAGGAATTAAACGAACAAAATCATTTTCAGTGGGTAGATCATAATTGATTTGCATTTAAATAAAATAAATATAAACTAATTTACATAAAATAAATGTTGGAGTTTATCCAAAATTATAGGTACTAGGGTTAATTAATTAATTAATTAATAATGTGGGTCTTATTAACTATACAGTATGTCTGGCACAATATGACATATTATTACCATGCTGTTATTTTCCCTAGTAACATTATTGCATTCATCTTACAGTTACTATGGAAGTAATAACAAACAAACTAACTATGGTATACATTCCAAAATAGATCCAAATAACCTAGTAGTAGTTGCTTTTATTATTAGATAATCAATCTTTTGAAATAATTATCTATCTAAATATGGTGCAAGTGTAAAATTGTGAAATATGCAAATTTTGGAAACATAAACCCAACAAAAAAGATATGTGTATAATTCCCACCGCATGAACAAATGTTCATAACAATAAACTATGCTAGCAATACAAAGCACTTGTTTGAACTGGCAGCAAGATATTGACAACTGCACTTACTGGTAAATACACAGAAAGCTTTGTGATATCATTTCTCAATACGATACTGCAAGTGCTTTGTCAGCATAAGCTTAATTTATTCAGATCTGAATTGCAGACTGGGGAATGAATTTGAATATAAATTTGTTTCCAATATTTACAATTTCCAGGTATTGAGAGTATAACAAAGCATGAAAATAAGGGGGTTACCTATTTAAAAACATCTGCATAACAATAGCCTTTTAAGTTTGTGTATTTGGGTGTAATTGAATGTCTAGCTCAGAATAAGTACCGTACCGATAGTACATTTTTCTGTAACTGCATACCTATGCATGCTACTAGTGCCAACTCTCATTATGCCTGCCTGTATTCAACCTGTACAGTGTATGTGTGTACTGGCACCAGGGAATACTGCCAATACCTACCACACCTATTGTTTCCTCTATATCCACTACACTTTTCTCAGTCAGAACTCAGTTGTGAAAAACACAAACTAGGATCTTATTTTAAACAGATCAACTCCTGGGCTATATGTACTTTTACAAAATATTGAATGACTTTGTGAAGTATTGTAGCATACTGGATAAATCACTATTATCAATTTGACAATAAGCGGGTTCAGAATCTGAGGCTGGGTTCTGAATAAGAGGTTAGGCTCTGAATATGAGACTGAATCTGAAGCTAGACTAACAGTGGTGGATACATGTATGTTACATTTTGTATAATTAAGTATATTAATGAGGTCACTTAAAATTATTAATTACCACCACCATCATTATTATTGACTATTTGTCCCTAGTTTGAAATTCCAATTTAAAAAACCTAGTTTTAAGAGCAAATTCCCAATATTAATGTATTGCCCTTTCAGTATACAGTGCATACTTGTGTTCTACAAGTTTCCCATGATGCAAATGCATACAAATTAAATACCTATTATTAATAAAATACAATCTAAAACGAATCAGAACTGCGAATTATCACAGATAATCTGTACCAATTTTTATTGAAATCTGTTGGTTGGTAAATATTCTTGAAAAACGAGTGAAAAAGGCTAATAAATATTGAATGCAAAAACTAATCAGGTACAATGTATGTGCATTATTGCAAAGCATCTTTGTACCATGTTACAATGAAATCTGCTGGATGATACTTGAAAAACAAATGAAAATGTTTACAATTGGC